GGTCCGATAAGGGCATTGGCAGGAAGGATCAAGAGTCTCCTTGGAAAGATCTCAACCTAAGCAGTTTGGGCACGGGGGTGGGTACTGCCAGGCTTTCGGGTCACATGTGAATTTTAATACATCTCCTTGTCAGCCCCACCTTGCTCTACAGCCTCGGGGACTTGCATCAGACCCATGGAGAAAGAAAAATAGTGATTAAATATTAAAACTTCATTAAAGTCTATGTCAAGCCTAGCGTGGGTCCTGGTGACTGCTTATTGTACATACCTGTGACTTCCTGCCTGAGAGTTGATTCCTGCTGCCAAAGAGCAAGCCTGGGCAAAGAACAAGGGAAAGGTGAAGCCTTTAGACAATTACAAATAGGGGTTTGGTGAGGATGCCACCCTCAACATCGGTGGGTCAAGAGCTTCTTCACGCTCCAGACTGGGATAACCGCATATGTTCTACACTGTCTCCCAGAGGTCCTCAGCAGGACTGGGCTCCAAGGCTAATAGGCTAGATAATGCACCCTTTATTACTGGCTTTCTGTCCACAGTTTTCTTACTCTGTCTCCTCATACTTCCTGGGATTGTCTCCCTTATAAATTACTCTACCCTTAAATGCAGGAGTATCTCAAGAGTCCTTTTTAGGGGGGTCCTATGTGTAGTCAGGCCCTGAGCATGTAAACAAAGCAACACAGGCTAGGAGTCACACGGACCTGGGTTCAAATCGCTTTTCAGTGACATTGAAAAACCTACTTGTTCTAAGACGGTTTCTTCATGTATCAAATGGGACAACGGCATAGATCTCAGACAGTTTGATTCAAAGAAAAAGTTGAGACTGTGCTTAAACATGTTTCCTATAGTCTTTTGCATGTGGTAAATGATGACTGGATAATGGTTATGGTTATTGTATTCAAATTTTTATGTCATTGTGACCAAATACTCGAGAAAAGCAACTTTAGAAGGAAAGATGCATCTTCTCAGTTTCTGTTTGTCATAGTGGAGAGGGCGTGACAGAGCAGAGCAGTTCCATCATAGAAGCCAGGAAGCAGATAAAAACAGGAGTACAGGAAGAGGCCACAGCAAGTTATGTCCACCAAGCACACCCTCCATGGCCTACTTCTTCCGTCTGTGCCCCCATCTCCTACTTCTTAACAATCTCCCAATGATGTGATGTAATGAGTCCATCAAGGGATTATTTAAATGATTAGGTAAGAGATCCCAGAATCTAATCACTTCCCAAAAGCCTGTCAACTGGTAACCAACTCCCCAGTTATATGAGCCTGTGGTCAGCATTTCACATTCAATCCATACCAATCATTAACATGACATGGTATGAGATTTTGAATAAGAAATGTCCCCCATAGGTTCAGATATTTGGCCAGTTGGTCCCCAGTTGGTGATGCTGTTTAGGGATATTAAGGGGGACGGGTGTGCAACCTTGCTAGAGGGACATCAGTTGGGACCAGCTTCCTTAAGTTGCTTTTGGTCATGGTGTTTTGTTACAGCATCAGCAAAGTGACTAATACATACAGCATAGCACTGGAGGCCAAAGCTGTTTTCCAGCCTTGGGTGAATGCTGAGGATGACTCATTTGTAATCCCAGTGTTTCTATAGAGAGATGGGGCAGGAGATGGGGAGACGCCAGGAAAATCTTGTGGGCCAGGTAGCCTGGCATATAGAAGAAGCAAATAAGAGGGGGCTACTAAGAGTTAGACAGACTCCCTGATCGGCAAGCAAGGAGGACCATGACTAATAAAGACAGTCAAGTTGCAAAATGGATGGCTTCTTCCTCACCCTTGCAACTGGGACAAAAGCCTGGCAACTTAAAACAAAGGCCAAGTGGGTTTTTTCTCCTGCCAGGAGGCCCCTGCTGGTGGACTGATGCATCAAGTTCAAGGAAGGATCAGGACATGTCTTCGTAACAGTTGTAGGCCAATCAACCATCCTATGGTTCTTCTTCCAATGGACCAACTCTAGGCTAGGGCAGAAGACCCTTCAAAGACTTAAAAAAACAAACAAACAGAACAGCCCATAGGGACTTTGGTTTCCCTAGTCACTGCTCTGCTTAGCAGAGGGTCTTTCTCTGTGCCTGATCTATGTTTCTTCACCCTTAACAGAAGCCTTTCTTCAACTGCCGATTCTATGTGCTTCTGTTTGTGGTGTTTAAGATTTCTCTGCTTGGCCGGGCGGTGGTGGCGCACGCCTTTAATCCCAGCACTCGGGAGGCAGAGCCAGGCGGATCTCTGTGAGTTCGAGGCCAGCCTGGGCTACCAAGTGAGTCCCAGGAAAGGCGCAAAGCTACACAGAGAAACCCTGTCTCGAAAAACCAAAAAAAAAAAAAAAAAAAAAAAAAGATTTCTCTGCTTAAGTTTTTTTCCTGCCAGGCAGTGGTGGTGCAAGCCTTTAATTGCAGCACTCGGGAGGCAGAGGCAGGTGGATCTCAGTTCAAGGCTAGCCTGGTCTACAAAGTGAGTTCCAGGACAGCCAGGATGGTTACACAGAGAAACCCTGTCTTGAAAAAAAATTTTTTTCTGTCTTTTAATTATTTAACTGGCAGAGAAAGCAAACAGGATCCAGACTCCTAGACTGTAACAAAACCAGGTGAAAGACAGAACCGACATCTAGGCTGTCCCCTAACTTCCCACATTTGCAAACCTGAGGGGACACACACACACACACACACACACACACACACACACACACACGCACTCCGAAGATTTTTTTGCCAATTGCTTTGTCTCACCTGACGACTACAGTGCCATCAGTAACTTCATATCTGTATCCCAATCCACACACTCCCCGCCCCCCCAGCCAAGACAGGCTTTCTCTGTATAGCCCTGGCTGCCCTGAAACTCACAGTAGACCAGGCTGGCCTTGAACTCATAGAGATCCACCTGCCTCTGCCTCCTGAGTGCTGGGATTAAAGGCGTGCGCCACCACCGCTGAGCCCTAATCCACACACTATAATGGATGAAATTCCAGTCTTATTCTAGGATTATGCTCAGGGCTGCAGAGACTAGGTTTCTGATTTTTGTCTGTTTTCCCAAGTGTACAAGAACCCTTTTCTCTTTATGTTTAGGAACTTAACTTTAGAGTTTGGGTCAGAAAGGCCAGCAGGATTAGCGCTTCCCACCTCCTCCCTGCAGGTATGAGCTTCTGGAAGAAGCTAAGAATCCACAATGACTTCCCACTACAATCTTTGTTTACCTTAGACACTAGCAGACGCATTTCCCCCTAGTTTATGTAGAGATGTATATGGATACAAGCTAATGTGGCTCACTTGACCTTGAGAAAAACAATCAGAAGACTTAGGAACGGTGGGTGAAGGGCCTGCCATGTGAGCATGAGACTCTGGGTTCAGATCTTCAGAACCCAGCACCAGCACCATTTGTACTCTGGTTTATTAAAGCAGCAAGCAGATGAAGGTCACAAAATTGGAGGGGTAGGGAGATTGGAGGTGAATCTGAAAGGAACAGGGGGTGGATATGAACAAAACACACTGAATGGAATTCTCTAATTCATAGAAATATTCTCTTTTTTTAAAAGCTGGCCAAGGCTGCTGCAATCGGGGGGGGGGGGGGGTGGAGTGGGTGAAGAGGGGATGGGGGTTGGACCAAAACAAGTGCTGGGAACAGGCAAAAGCACCTTGTGCTAAGTGCTTCTGTTTTGACTTCAGACTCCCATTTTGCCTGTGGGGTGAAACAAAGTTCAGGTTCCCAAGCCCTAGGGGAGCTGGGAACCTTCCAATAACTGATCCGCCTCCTTCTTAACTATAGAAATAGTCACTATGCATCTTTAGTTCTCTAGAAACATCACGGCTGTTCCTAACAACACAAGGAACAAATGAATCTGATTGGTTGGGCTGAAAATCTTGCATTGTGTGACAGTTGACAATGACTAAACATTCAACCCCTTAAATCTCTAAATCCTGATTGGTGAAAACTGTAACTGTAACTTGGCAACAAATGTTTGTGATTTTTGTGCTTAAATACTTGCTGCAACTGACATTGGGTTGCACTTCAGCTCCCGAGTCTGTTCTGTGGCCCTGATGGATCAGCCCCTCCCCTTCCTGGCTTCTTTTGTGCTGCCCTGCATTAAATCTTGTGTCTGCTTGGGTTGATTGGGAGCCTAGGACCATGACCCAACCAGATGCTTGGGACTCACTGGCCATCCCAGTCTAGCTGATCAGTGAGTCCTGCATTCCAGTGAGAGACCCTGCCTAAAAAATAAGCCAGGTGAGGTGGTGCCCACCTTTAATCCCAGCACTCAGGAAGCAGAGGAGGAGGGTCTGTGTAAATTCAAGCTAGTCTAGTCTACATAGTGAGTTCCAGGCCAGTCATAAGACAATATGAGATGCTGTCTATAAAAGCAAAATCAAACAAGAAACAAACCACAAATGAAGAGTTGGAGAGTGACCAGGGAAGACACGATTGGACATCCTCGGGCCTACACACACACACACACACACACACACACACACACACACACACACACACACCAATAACCACAGTCTATTCATTTCCTATTTCCTTCAATAAAGAAAATCCCTTAAGAATGTGCCAGAGGATTTGCACTCATACAGGGGATGTTCCTTGGAGGGACAGATCACATACATGAATCTATTTCACAAGAACCTGTTGCAATGGATCTCTTGAAAGACTAATTTCTGGAACAGTCTATTAGTACTTCTCAGGTTCCTTAAAGTGACTTACAGTCTGTCTTAGTGTTAGACTAGAGTTTCCTAAGGGGAGAACTCGGATCCAATTAGCTACAAGTACCCAGGAGCTTCCTACGTTCCCACCTAGGATTGCCCAGTCTAACAAAATCAGCTAACCAGTCATGCAAATTCTTGTTATTCATCTGAAATTCAAATTCAACTGGGTGCTTTGACTTTTCCCTGGCAACTTTATACATCAACAAAAATTGACAAGTAGCTAAATGAATGGATGCCCGATGAGCACAGTACCAGGGAATGGAGCAGTGGATGAGCAAAGGTTGATGACCGTGACCCTCATGGACACGACAACCAGCAATCACAAAGCATCAAAATCACATCAGTCGGCCTCCTGCCTTTTAAAATCCAATCTGGCTTTGACTTGAGATGTGTTTTGTAGCCGAGCTTTGTCAGCCACCTTCGCACCATATGCAAGTGTCTTGCCCCAACAACTTTACATCTGAATTCCACACGTTCCTGGCTAATTGTTTATTAGTTGTGCCAGCTGTAAAAGAAAATTGACTTTGGATGGTGTTCAGCTATGCTGAATGACACCTCTGTATCTTCCTTTAAAACTGCCAGAATTGTGCTCTTATTCCAGCCGAACCCTAGGGTTTTGAGTGAAGTCATTCACCTTGATTAAGCCATCAGGACCAATTCTGTTTGGAAAAAACACATATCTGGAATTAGTTTTAACAATCAATTAAAAAAGTATATAATATATATTTACATATGTATATATTACCCCAAATTAATTTCACTGCCGCTGCCCTCAGGGCTCTTATTCTTTTCATTTTTAATTAAAAAATGTTATTATTGTATGTGCACAGTGTATGTGTGGAGGTCAGAGGACAACTTTAAGGAGTTGCTTCTATCTAGCATTACACGTAATGGTGGTTTGAATGAGAATGGCGCCCCCTAGGCTCATATATTTGAGTGGTCCTCAGTTGGTAGAATTGTTTAGGAAGGTTTAGAAGGTGTGGCCTTGTTTGAGGAAGTGCATCACTGAGGGTGGGCTTTGCAGCTTCAGAAAGCTCATGCTATTCCCACTGTCTAGATCTTTCTCTGCCTCATGCTTGTGGATCAAATGTAGGCTCTCAGCAACTGCTTATGGCCGTGCTCTCCCATCATAATGGTCATGGCTCTATCCCTCTGGAATTGTAAGCAAGACCCCAATAAACTCTTTCTTCTGTAAGTTGCCTTGGTCATGGTATCTGTTCACAGCAATAGGAAAGTCATCAAGACACATGGGCTCCAAGATCAAACTCAGGTCATCAGGCTTGGCCAGGAAGCTCCTTTGCTCCAGAGCCATCTTGTTGGCCCTTCTTTCTTTATTCTTGATTGCTTAATCTTCTGTCTCCCTCTGCCTCCACCTCTTCTTCCTCCTCTGTTGGTCAACTTAAGCTACCCAGAGGCACCTGGCAGGTTTATTAAGACCCAAGTTCCTGGGCCTCATCCCAGAATTCCTTATCCTATAAATCCATGGTGAGCCTTGGATTCTGCATTTCTAACATGCTCCAGGTGGTTGCTTCTTCTAACTAACCTCAGAAACCCTCCATGGGTAACTCCCCTGTTCTGTTCCCTCCTTTTCTCAAATCAGTATTTCATGTTCCTCAGAACAGAAAAGTGTGCAGATGTTCCTTGACTTATAGTGGGGAGCAAGTCTTTGACTCCCTGTTGTAAATGGAAAATATCACGTTGCGGGCCTGAGGAGATGTTTCAGGTGTTAAGAGTGCACATTGCTCTTGCAGAGGACCTGAGTTCACTTTCTAGCACCTATGTTGGTTGGCTCATAACCATTTGTAGCTCCAGCTTCGGGATAGCTGACATCTTTGACCTCCAAGGGCATGTGTGCTCACACCCACATTACCACAACCTCCCCGTCATTAAAGAAAATAGCAGACCTTTAGATGTAAAGAAGCTTTTCTTTTCCAAGAAAATATCGTGTCAATAATGTGCTTAATACACACCCAGCCTATCTGGGCCATCCCAGCTCAGGCACACAGTAAACTGTAAAGTATTGCTTTCCCTAGCAATATAAAAAGGCATGTTGGGCCGGGCGGTGGTGGCACACGCCTTTAATCCCAGCACTCGGGAGGCAGAGCTAGGCAGATCTCTGTGAGTTCAAGGCCAGCCTGGTCTACAGATCGAGATCCAGGACAGGCACCAAAGCTACACAGAGAAACTCTGTCTGGAAAAACAAAAACAAAAAACAAACAACAACAACAACAAAAAGGCAGGTTGGGAGCTGTAACATGGTGCATCTGTCAGTATCAGGAGAGATTACTGTACAGCGATACTGCTAGCCCAGGAAATTATATCAAAGTCCAAAAAAAATTGAAATTTAGTTTCTACTGAATACAAATTCTTTTATGTCATTACAAAATTAAAAATTATATGAATAAGATGAAGCTACTATATGACAGGGACTGTGAGTAGCAGCCTCACCCCTAGACCCATGCCACACCCCGGTACACTTCTGCTCTCCCTTGCTGATGGTTTACTCACACTTCTTGTTCAATATAGTTGAGCATCCTGCTAACATGGGATGAAGAGATCTCCCCATCCACCTCAGCGATGTATGTGTAGAGAAACTGGAAGGTGCTGAAAGGAATCCGGGGTGGTCCTCCATCATGGTCACAGGATAAGACTTCACACACTATCTTGAGAGTTTTGGCAATGGTCTAGACATAAGACAGAAGGAGGAGAAAGTCACTCTTCCAGGCTAGATCCCTGAGATCAGTTTAGACTCAAGAAAGAAAACGAAACCGTTACTCATGTAAGAAGGAGTGAGGCTGGATCCAAGACTCCAGAAAGCTTAACATGTGTCAACCAATTCATTCTAAACATACTACCTTTTTTTCCTTGGAGGAAATTCAATTTGTAAACTGATAAATTAAGATATTGTTAATTTTAATTAGAATAACCTCGTCAAAGGGGAACCGACTTTCATCCTATAAAACGGGCACTATCTAGGGCCAGTGAGAGAGCTCAGGGAGAAAAAAGTGCTGGGCATCAGCCTGATGGCCTGAGTTAGATTCTCAGGACTCACGTGCTGAAGGTGTTCCAGAATTAACATGCCTTCCCAGTGGGAAATCACACCGAGTACACAGAGACTAATAAAGGAGAAACTTTTCATCATAGTGCAGGAGTAGTTCTGGCTAATGCACAGAAGGGAGCCGGGCTTGAATAGAAATCCCCATCAGTTTATGCAGTTTCACGGTCCCAAGTTACATTTTGAGTAATTAAATACATTCCAAGGTTTGGTTGTTTGGACGAATGGGGAGACTTACAGTGTAAAATATTATTAGAGTTATCTCAAGCCAGCCCAGGCTGCTCTTCCCAGGCAGCTGTTGACCAAGGGTATCCTGCCTACCTGGTGATTCATGCTTTTCCTGATAAGAGAACCAGAGCGCTCCTTTGGCTAAATTCTGTTTTGTGTAACATAGCATTTCCTAAGCAAGTTTAGCAGACCCTTTTTAACATCAACTTATTATTCCCAGTCTTTCCTAGAAGAGAACCAACTCCTGCAAGCTGGTCTCTGACCCTGTGCACATGCACACATCCATGCATAGTAAGCAAATAAAAAAAAGAAAATTAGAAATATTTCTTATTGCCTTCCAACCTTATCTTCTAAAGCTTAGAGATATTCATCTATCCATCCATCCATCCATCCATCCATCTATCTATCTATCTACCTATATAAATACATATAAAATACTAGATACACACACACACACACACACACACACATACACACACACAGATACCTGGGGCAAAGCCATAATAAGGGAGAAAAGTTAAGAGGAGTATACTGTTTTTAGGGAGATAAGAGTCCTACAAGATACAAACCCATTCTTCATTGAGATCCACTTAAGTAAAATCATCTAATTAATAATATATATATATATATATATATATATATATATATATATATATATATATCTCACTGTCCTGGTTAGTTCTTATTGTCAACTTGGCACAACCTAGAAGTACCTGGAAGAGGGAGCCTCAATAGAAAAATTGCTTTGATCAGATTGGCTTGTGGGCCTGTCTGTCTTTATGACTAATTGATGTAGGAGGGCACAGCCCACTGTGGGTGGCACCATCCTTAGGTAGGAGGTCCTGGACTGTATAAGAAAAGCTATTGATATAAGCTAGTGAGTAGTAATCCAGTAAGCAGCATTCTCCCATGGATCCTGCCTTTACTTCCCTCGATGTGGGCATGGAAACATAAGGTGAAATAAATCTTTTCCTCCTCAAATTGTCTTTGGTCAGATATTTACCCCAGTATCAGAAAAGTGACTGTTTTTGCTTACACACACACACACACACACACACACACACACACACACACACACACACACACACACACTTTTGCTGGCTTGCTAAAGCTGCCAATGTAAAGATACACCCTCCAGGGCTCAGTCAAGAATTAGTCCTGAGTGGTGAGCTAAGTGTGCTGGGGTGACTGAGCAGCTGCTCTATGTCCTTATGTGACTGGCCAAAGATGTCCCCTGCACTGGCAACTTTCCTGGCTGTTCGGCTCCCATCCCTTTCTGGAATGCAATGATTGTCTAGATGGTGCTTCTTCTACTGTGAGGCTAAGAGGATGTGAATAAATTTGGCTCATCTTCCTAGAGACAGCTTTACTGAGTGGCGGTGATTTTAAAGGTCTTTTGCCCTAAGTAATTACTATTCATTTTGAGTTAATATTTAAATTTTATTTCCATTTAACTAACATTTTATAAAATAGGATCTTCAACATATAATAGTTTAAAAATTATAAGGGATAGATGTCAAGAAACTATTGAGGTTTGTAGTTTTGTAACAGGTCGGTCTGCTGGAGCCCCAGGAAAACACTCATCTAGGAAGCCTCATTCTGGGCATTTGCATTAACCTGGGGTTGGGTCAGATGGCAAGATGTGTGTGTGAGGCTGTTGTGGGTGGGGAAGGCCTAAGTGTGAGATAAGGTCAACAAGAGAGTGGTTAGGAGTATATTTGCAAGCATGAGTGTGTGTGCTGAGCTGCATAATTCTGCCCACAGTATTTCCTACTTCTCTAAAATAATTCTGTAACCCTACTTCATTATGCTGGCCTCTTTTTGGGGTGCTGCTGTAGGTGGAACTGTCTTCCCCTCAAGTCCTAAGTCCTAGAATCTGAGAATTTAAAGAGTTAATGAGAACTGAATGAAATGATGCACACATGTAATCACAGCACTCAGGAGGCTGAGGCAGGAGGATGGACAGTTCAAGGCCATCCGGAGCTATATAACGACCTCCTGTCAAAAAGCATAAAGCCAAACCGAAACACCACCCATCATAAGTGTTAAAAGGTGAATTAAATTGCAATGAGATGATTAGGCTGGGCAGTGGTGGTGGCGGCGGCGGCGGCGGCAGCAGCGGCGGCGCACGCCTTTAATCCCAGCACTCGTGAGGCAGAGTCAGGCGGATATCAAAAAAAAGAGATAAGTAGGACTGACCTTAGTTCAGCGTGACTGGTGTGTTAGAGTGACAAAGGACGAAGAAGTTCCCCATACACCAGCAAAGGAAGCTTCAGATGAAACAACCTGCTCACACCATGACCTTGAACTGTCTGGCCTCCAGAACATAAGACAGTACTTTTTGTTGTGTAAACCACCCAACCTGTGGTAAGCTGTTATCACAGCCCTTGCAAGCAACCAAATGCTTCCCACCTCAACTGTTTATTGATTATTGATACAGGCCTTTAAATTCTAATGTCCTCATCCTTACAAAATATTTTATTTTTAGTTATGTGTCTGTGTGTCTGTGTGTGAGCATGTGCACATGAGTACAAGTAACTCAAAGTCTAGGCTAGGGTGTTGGTTCACTTGGAGTTGGAGTTACAGGTGGCTATGAGAGGCCTCAAGTGGCTGCTGGGAACTGAACTCAGGTCCTCTGGACAAGTGCAAAGTGCTCTTAACCACTGAGCCATCTCTCCAGCTCTCTTCATAAGACTATAAAATATTTTAAATAAGCAAAACAATATCATGGCTAAATAATTTCTTGGAGTGGAACTTTTTGAAAATTTAATTTTAATGTAAACAGATCTTCACATTCTCATCTCAGATTCGTGTGTGTGTGTGTGTGTGTGTGTGTGTGTGTGTGTGTGTGTGTGTGTGTGTGTGTTGGGGGAAAGGGGGGATACTTCATACTGGCAGTCTCCGGCATCATACAAGACTTTGTTTTAAAGTCAGATGTGAACACACTTAGTCCATACATGACCTCTTCCTTTTTACGTGCAGCCATGGTGGAACCTCAGGGGGTCTTGTGGCAGCCTGGAGGGAGGAATTCTGGACAGGAAGAGACACAGGTCGCCAGTCGTAGCATGTGGAACCATGCATGTCAGGTCCAGAGAGCTCCAGGCTGGAGTCACTATCCCTGTTTTCTACTGGAGTAATAGTTCCAGCCATTGGACTCTCACAGTGGGAGCAAAACCTGCTCTCCCAGAGGGGAAAAGATGGTAGCTTGCTTGCAAAGGAAGGAAAAATTCCTAGTAGACTGGTCTCCAAGGACATATGCCTAGATGGAACGCAAGCCCTCCACTAAAGGGTGACACCTTGACTCTCTCAGTTGGCTCAGGCTTCTATAATAAAGTATTTTAGACTCAGAGATTTAATACAAATCAGAAATCTGTTGCTCACAGTTTTGAAGGCGAAAAAGTTCAACATCAAGGGCTGACGGTGACGATTCTTCGTAGGTGGTGATTTCTTGCTGTAGTCTCACATGGTGGAAGGGGCAAGCAGCCTCTTCCAATCCCCATTTATAAGACTCTAGGGTCCCTGTTCCTGAGGACTGCACTCTCGTGACCTAAGGCTCCACTCATAATGCCATATCCTTGGGGCTTAAGATCTCAACATACAAGTTCAGATAACTGCCTGGTTATAGCACTGACCAGCCCCACAATTAAGGTCCAACATAATACAAGTGTATGTAGTGGGCATTGGCTACGCCCATGACCTTGGGCTATCTGGTCTGATAGGCAGTGCAGCTTATATGCCTACTTGACCGCTTAAAAGGGAGGAGAAAGGGAGTCAAGATCTCTTGGGTGGTGAAGACCGGATCGCGTGGCGTGAAGCAGTGTGTGATCAGTTCCCAGTTTTCCAAGGACTCTGCAACTGGATTTACCTTATCCTGTGTCAGTGAGTCTGTTTTCCCCATAAAACCCCTTAATGGATATCTCTATCTCTATCTCTATCTCTATCTCTATCTCTATCTATCTATCTATCTATCTATCTATCTATCTATCTATCTATCTATCTATCTATCATTATAGATGTAGGCATTGTTCCTGGATCCACAAGCACCTTTGGTACACAGGCTATATTTCCAGGCTGACTTTACCTCTGTATGTTCTTTGATGGGAACGATGAAGGGCATGCGGCTGTTTTGTTTGGGGCAGATAAGTGGGACAGAATGACAGCTTGTTAGAGGTGAAAGTACCTTAGAGAGCACTTGATCCAACTTCCTTGTTTTGGAAGAGATGGAAAAAGATACAGCTCACCTCCTGGCTTCCTCCCAGTTTGGGAGGCAGGCACATCAGAGAAAACTTGCCAGGTACATGGTGTGCAAAACAGGAAGGGAATTGGAATGTGGCTTTCCAAAGTCACCCCCAGGCTACTATGAGATACGGGGACAAGATGATGATGACTCAGACATCTCACACAGTGGCAAGAGGCTTAGACCAAAGTCAGGGAGCAGATGAGGACAATGTACAGCAAACATTGGGGGTGAGGCAGGCAGCAGGGACATCTGAGATGGGCCAGTGGGGACCATTATGACGCTTTAATCAAACCAAGAGATGCAAAAGCCAGAGTGACCAGAAGGCTGCATTGTAAGTGAAGACCAGAGGGCCTAAAGAGGCCACACCCCTTCACTCCAGATCAGCCCTTTCCTAAAACACTCCATTGCTACCTTGGAAAAGTGCAAGGAGAGAGGCGAGGGTTACCTGTAGGTGGTTTCATTTGCTGCAACAATCTAAGCGCTAAGATCAAATCTGCTTAGTTCCCTGCTCTATCCTTCGAGGGTGAGGTAGATGGAGGTCAGAATTAATGGAGAAAGAGAGTCTCGGAGCATCCTGTTAACGTGCAGCCTTATGAGACTTTGATAAAATGTGTGCATTTTAAAACAGTTTTCTTTTGTGATTTCTTTCACTCCTTGAGGCTTTCCCCGACAACTGTGAGCTTAGTCCTGGCTGACAGCTCATTTGCCCCGTTGCGTTTACCTCCCCTCCTTGGAGAACAGCCATTTATTCGTTATATAATGTTTCTATGAAAGACAATGGGAAAAAAAAACAACCACAAATAGTCCCCTCTTTCCTTCTCTCTGGAGAAACGATTATGAAGACGGTTGCAGGGGAAACCCACGGGAAAAGTTGGATTACAATATTTCTGCTAAATTTACCCAGGCACAAAAATGCCAAGTACGTGTTTGGAGCACAGTTGAAAAGAAAGACCAAGATCGTGCTTGGCTGTGCTGAGATTCAAGTTACTTTCTCATCCTTGTTGGCCTGCGAGGAGGCAATGGTTTCCTTATTGACTTCCACATGTATCTCGGGGCTTTAGAAATCAGTAATGACTCACTTTCCACTTCTGATTCATTTTCATTCATTATCAGTGACTAACAAGAGTGAATCCACCTAGACGATACCTCAGTTTTAAATGCATATAAAAGCTGGTTTCAGCATTTTTTTCTTTCAAAACAGGAAGATGGCTTTTCTAATTTTCAAACTAATTTGGGAAAAGGCCTGAATTGGCATGAACTTCCTCTCTCCGTGATTATGATTCTAGAAATCAAAATCTTCGTTTTTCCCCCGTTCCTTTAAAAAAATGTTTAAAATACTCTTGCTTTCTCTTTTTCTGAATCTTATGTCCACTGTGTTTACCAACAGCTTTCTATAAGGCTGAAGACCCCTTTAAGGGCTGTACCAGAATAACTTCTAGGTATCTAGACCCCACAGGTAAACAAGACTTATCATACAGCTTAGAAGTCATGAACGAAGTGGGCAGAACAGGCTGAAAATTAATCTGAGGGCAGTGGCTGAAAGTCACAAATAACCCAAAGCCAAACTTGGCCAGCTCTCTGCAGAGCCTGGTGATAGCTGCCCCCTCCTTCCCCTGCTTCTTGCTTCTGGTCATTGAGCCTGGAAATGACCTAATTCAGAGAGCAGAAGAAGCACAAAAGGCAGTTTTCCTTTTTACCTTTTCTGGAGAGCTGGGAGGGGGCAGATGGATTGTCCTTCCAGGCCCAGAGACAAGTTATGGGACATTTCAAAGTTTATCTTTTGTGTACTGAGAACTGAACCTTGGGGCCTCACCCCTATGAGACCAATGCACTATTACTGAGTCATTCCAACCCTCTGCCCGATGAGACACAACACACACACACACACACACACACACACACACACACACACACACACACAAAAAGCTGACTTACGACTCCAAGGGAGCTACAAGCAAGAGCTAAAAACTTCAGCCATTCAATCTCCTCCGTGAAGCGACCCACATTCATCACACTGTTAAACAGATCTGTTGGGAGATTCAGCACTTTCCACATCTGGGCCAGCTCGTCGGCATGGATGATCAGTCTGCCACCAACCTGCAGGACAGAGGACACACAAAACACATATGAGGAGGGGGATGGGAAGCTGGAGAGGCCAGAGGTCCTTGCGAGGCTGTGATATCGCTTTAATATTTTTAAACTCCAGATGTTGGACTTATGGCAAAGAGATCCATTTATAGTACATTCTGTTTTTTATGAAGCCTTTATGGTCCCTAGGTTGTCCCTGTAATGCAGATGGCACACCAGAGGCTTGCCTGAGACCTCTAATGAGGGGAATCAAGAATGACATTGTCACCAGGCAATGGTGGCACACGCCTTTAATCCTGGCACTCGGGAGGCAGAAGCAGGGGGATCTCTGAGTTCGAGGTCAGCCCTGGTCTACAGAGAGAGTTCCAGGACAGCCAGAGCTTCATAGAGAAACCCTGTCTCAAAAAAAATCAAAACCCAAAAACCAGGAAAAAAAAAAAAAAAAGAGTGACATTTTCTCTCCCAGACTACACAGAGTTCTCTGCACTAAATCTCATGTGTGTCCCTCCTGTCTCTGAAACAGTGATATGTGGTACCCTGTGGCTGACCTATAGGGTTTAAGATGGATGTGTAACATTGTTTGGTCCCAGGAACTTGAGAGCTGCCATGTTCACTCCAGAGAAAACTTGGCAGTTAAAAGGTAGAGGGGCAAGGAGGGATGGCTAACGATACAGTGAGGGGGCAGGTGCCCCATTAAGTGTGCCAACACTTTGCTGGGGCCCCTGAGCCCGGTGAAATGCTGAGCCTCTGGAACCCAAGCTCCAGCGAGTCCCCAGTCACCCAAGCCTCCCCTCTCCTGCCCCCTAATGTGGGGCATCATGCTGCTCAACTGTATCCTGGGAACTGGCCACGCCACCGTTTTTCTCAAGCCAGTCCCTCCTTTTCCCTTCACAGGCTCACTCCTAAGAGAATGTGTGGGGATCGGCAGGGTTTGCTCTTCAGGCTGGGCTGTGTCTGCACCTGGGTTAGTGGTGAAAGTACACAGCACTCACTTCCTCTCCAGACTCTGGAGGACCTCTCATGGTCTGGATCCATCAGGGAAATGCTGAGGAGCCTGGGGAGTTACACTCTCTAAGAAGGCAACATTCACTCCACTGAGCCCCTGAATATCCTTCCAGATCTGGGGGAATCTGTGATAACCCCAGGAGACAGCTCATCATTCAACTTCTTCCAAACTGATTGCTGTTTCTCGGAAGGAAGACCCACTTTCACGCCAGGATTTAGTAAACTTTGGGGTAGTGCTAAAGACCAGCTGCCTGGCGGAAGTACAGGTGGCCCATTCAGTCTCCAACATCATCCCCGAATGCTCCATACCCGAGAGTGCAGGACCTTCAGCAACTCAGGGGTCAGCTCAGCCCAGTTGGACAAAGTGACTTGCTCAGACCTCTCTCTTGCTGGAGGAATCTCTCCACGGGACATGGCCCCGAAATATCTGCAAGAAAAGGGATAGGGAATAGAGGAAGGTCCCAGGCTCCAGCGACCTCTGGATGCTTTATTTACTTTTTTTTTTCTTTTGAAGGAAGTGAGTGGATTAAAAAAACAAACAAACAGTATTTTACCATGTTTAGTTCATTTGCATACGGGAAAAGTCTGATTGCGTTATTTCCACTTTAAGGAGGGAAGAAAGCCTAGGGAATATAAAGGTTTTCTTTTCTCTAAGAATAATGAGGAACAGCCAACAAAACTTTGGCATGCAGTCACCTGAGGCATATCCAATCAATTCCCCCCCCCATCCCTTCTTAGTGTTTTATTCACATAGACAGAGAGATCCTAGGACATTTACAGGCTATCTTATCTCTGTGTGTTTGGTTGGTAGGGAGAAGGTGCTTATATGAAAATAAGGGCAGATAGAATGTTCCAGGGGTGAGTGCTTCTGGCCTGAGGCAGTGAGGCCTGCCTGTGTGGGACTTCAGCAAGGGGGAGAAGGGCTGGCAAGGTACATCAAGGAAGGGACAAAACAGCTTGATATGGTGCAGATGAAGTAGGCCCCAACTGCAAAAATATTTCAGTTAAATACGCCTGCTGTGTGCCACTGCTCTGTGGGATGGACTTCGTTTAGGGGTGATGGGAAAGACAGGTCAAGTCCCGTTTCAAGGTTGGCCTGATACGGAAACAAGCTGCCTGCCACAGGGAGTGGATGTGAGCAACATGGTGCCAGGGTCTGTCCCCATCAAAAGTCTTACGATCCCTGAATCACACACTTCTGCCCCTTCCTATTCCCCCATGCTCCACCACTTTCTCCATTAACCAGGTAGTATAAAATACAGAGTGTTTCATAAAAGGCCATTTTAGGGTTGATATACACGATGGAGCTAACTGTTGCCCATCTCTGAGACACAAAGCAAGCAGAGCTAAAGAGACATGGATCAAAGCAGCAACTTCTAATCCCTGGCTGGAGGTCCTCTGCAGAACGGGCTGTAGAAAAATGTTTTGACACTTTTGAGCCTAAACATTGAGCACTCCCTGGAGGCAGACCAGTGTTTGGGTGGGAGCCAATGGGATGCCCAGAGTGGGGTTGTGGCCTCTGTAATGGCAAGGATAGCGGTACCACTACACCCCATTATACAGACGTGCCTGGGTGGAGTTACACTTGGCACTCTCCGAACAGCACAGCGTTGGAGTTGTTAGTGTCATTGGTTAGAGAACACGAAAATGAAGCCACACCCCTGGACTCAGTCCTCTAAATCTTTGAGTTCCATTTGCAAGTGAATGATTTCATGGTTACAGCTGTACAGATTTAGGCTGTCACACACACCTGCTGCAGGACAAATTGGTATATGCTCTGCTGATGTCAGGGGCATTGGCTTCTACCTTGTTGGGCCTTAGGGAAGGAAATTCCTGCATGTGATGAATTAGATACCTATTTTAACTTGGAGAAACTTGATAGAGTTCCATCTGCTGGGACGCTACAAGTTTGTAAGCCACAGACAATGATCCAGTGAGTGCTTTTGATGTCTAAATGTGATGGAGAACATTCTTAGGTCATGTTTTTTTTTTTTTTTTTCCATTGCAGTTGAAGTATAAAACTGATCTTGCACGGATGTCTAAAAAATCTATAGCACACCATATAATATGGAGCAAGCAGGCTACAATGGTAGGGAGTTTTCCTCCATAAATGTCAGGGACAATATCAAGAAATGTCATTTTTCTTAACGATAATGCAGGAGCACAAGAACAATAAAACGGAGTTTTAAGCAATCACGTGGCATAAAACAAAGTCTGTCTGACTGCCAAAAGAAATTAGTCTTCTGACATTAAAGTGTAATCTTAGAGGTAATACTTATAATTCAAAATAGAAAACGACACAGGATTCATGACTAGGCAAAGCAACTCTCTTTAGGCCATTTAAAAGCGCCAGGGCTTTACTTTCCTTCTATTCTAAAAAGCTTTCTTCTGGCTCAGCCTAGAGCAGGAGAGCTTGTGCCTTCAGAAAGGGCTTCACAGCTTGTCTCCACCATCTGCTGGATACACCCACTCACACCTCAGGTTCCCTTTCCCCAGCCCCTCCGCTCCACAGTCTGAGGTATCTTCCCACAGAGGCACCGCTAAGGAAGTAATCATCCAGCGAGAAAAAGCTAGAAAAGGACCCAGGAGCGTCTTGTTAGCTCCCAGCCCTGGCACCAAGGCTAGCCCAGTTTCCAGCAGGCACGTGTAAGAAGCAATTTCATAGTTGAGAGGCTGTCTATGCGAAGTGGCCACGGTGAGGTCAGCCTCTGTTGTGGAAGTTCACCCACTGAGAGCAGCCTCTAGGGGCTCTTGAAGGAGTCAGTGTGCTAGAGGCTCACCATAGAGCCCGACTGGACCTCCTCACCCAGCTCTGCCTCCTTTTCCAGAAAGCCATGTGACCACGGACATCTTCATGCAGAAGGGAGTTTAAAAAATATATATATAATAATAATAATAGAGAAAATAAGAGCCCCCTCCCCCTCTCCAAGACAGGATGCAAAATGTCTTTATTCTGGCACAGGTTTGAGTTTGCCCAGCCATGAAGGAAGGTGTTTCATTAATCAGAGGGAACCAACCAGCTTGGAGAAAGCCCACCTCCTTCTCCCCGCGGGGATCGCGCACCGCTCCACTAGGTGTACTGCTGCCACCTAGCGGTGAGAAGAACACGCTGAGGCGTAAACCAAGGAAAGGTGAGTGGAGCCGCAAATCAGATTCCCAAGCCCCTTCCAACCAGGACAGGCGGATGGGACGCAGTGATGAGCTAGGTGGGTGTGTGTTAAGCGTGACGTGGTAAGCTAACTGGTCCTCTTTGCCCCAGGACACTTGGCCTACTGTCCTCATGCTGCTACGAGTTTAGGGAAGGACATCCCATCCTCGTCCTGCTTGATGTATTTATGTGTGGATTTTTAAAACTCAGCTTCTCCTTAACAGCCCTCGCTGCCTGACTGCGGGCTTACCAACCTCTTCAGTTTCCCACAAACCCTCCTCTCTCTTTCCTCACCCCTGCCCTCTGAGAGGAACAACTTACTCGGCGGCCCACTGGATGAGATCCGGAGGCTGGGTCCGAATGGCAACCTTGGTAAACTGCTTTAGCAGTTCCGGCAGCTCCGGTGGGATGCATACTTGCTTGTCTGTCTGAGGCATTGATCTCTTGACCTAGGCGCACGACAAAAACAGAACACGGGAATATTATTTGAGTATTCAGCCATCAGGAATCGTAAAGCTACGTAGCAGTCTGGAACAAGAGATTTCCCCAGACCCTAGGTAGCACTTGTTTTGGAGGGGCGGCTAGCCCACAAGACAGATGCAGTCTAGAAAGCAGAGTACTAATCTCATTGTGCTGTAAATAGTTATGTCCTTTGCATGGAAAAAAAAAAAAAAGAATGCTTAAAACATAAGAGGCCAGCAGAAGTAAACAAAAATATTCCCTCATTATGTCGTCCCCAAATCTTGGATGTTTTCTTGTGAAAAAAAAATTTCAACCTATATATGTATAGTGTGTGTGCCTCTCTCTCTCTCTCTCTCTCTCTCTCTCTCTCTCTCTCTGTGTGTGTGTGTGTGTGTGCATAAATAAAAGATGGGGTTACACAAAGCAGCTTATGCAGCACTGAATCATGAACACCTTTCTGTGTTCCTTCAACACTTCACTGGATGAAAATTGTAGCAAAATTGACTTCACGAGTCCTCTTCTATGAATTGACTCTAGTTATTTCCAGGTCAAGGTCATTATTAAACAGTCAATCGATGAACCACTCTCCATACTTGTGTGTTCTTGTTTACTCTCACAATTTTCATGTGCAAAGGTCAGTAGAACCTAAATTTCAATTTTTTTTGAACTTTGATATAATTTCCTGGGTTAGCAGTATCACTATACAGTAATCTCCCCCGGATGCTGACAGATGCACCATGTCACAGCTCCCAACCTGCCTTTGTTATTGTTGTTTGTTGTTTTTTTTGTTTTTGTTTTTCCAGACAGGGTTTCTCTGTGTAGCTTTGGAGCCTGTCCTGGATCTCCATCTGTAGACCAGGCTGGCCTCGAACTCACAGAGATCCACCTGGCTCTGCCTCCCGAGTGCTGGCTGGGATTAAAGGCGTGCGCCACCACCGCCCCACTTCTGTGCCCACTTTCTAAGGAATCACATTTCCAGAGTATAACAACACATTTGTTTCTCCTTTTCCCTTGGGGAGTTACTGCCACTTGAATGACCTTCCTTCCTTTCTTCTGTTCAAACCCTACATAACCCCAGAGTTCATCTTTCCTAGAAAACCTAGGTAGCAGCAAATATTGTTGGCAGTACACATTTTGTATCAAATCCTGCTCTTCCTCTTTTACTCACTGGAGCAGAGCTCCTTAAGGTGACTGTGGAGATGGCTAACAGGTGTAGAGCGGGAAGGATGGCTGTAAACAGTTTATAGTGATACAAACTTTACAACCATTTACAAGTGTACAGTAGTTGAAATTATATTTGAATGCTGTTTGGCACAGTCAGTAAACTTCCAGATTTCAGTACTTTGTGTGTGTGTGTGTGTGTGTGTGTGTGTGTGTGTGTGTGTGTATGTGTGCTTAACCTTTTATGCATAACACCTGCCACCAGGCATGCATAGAGGACTTTCCCTGTCGTACATAACAATAAAACCATCCCTGTAAATCTGATTTTTGCTTTAACTGTGATACATTTATTATCAGTATCAATCTTTGCTCATGTGTGTTTCAAAGTATTTTTTAACTTGCTCTTAAATTTTCACCTTATTTCTTGGTAACCAAGTATATGCTTCCATAAACCATCATTATCTGTCTCTAATAATTTACATGTGTTCATTTATGACTAAATCCTTATTCTAGGCTTTTTGTGTTGGGGGAATTGAACGCAGGGTCTTGCACAGGGTAGGCCAGGGCTCCACCATCGACCTTGGGTTTTAAGACAAGATCTCACTGAATGGTCTAGGTTGGCCATGCACTCCAGATTCTTCTGCTTCCCAAGAGCCAAGATTACAGAACCACCATGCCTGGCTAGTTTGGCTTTTGATGTTAAACACCAATCAGACATTTAATGGATTAAAAAATAACTTCTTTTGTTTATAGAATTTACAAATGTTTCTTTCTAAAAACAGAAATGGAAAAGAATACAATCAATTCAATAAAATCTTACTTTAACATTGTAGAAAATTTCAAAATATTTAAATTTATTATATAGTTCTTGAAATAAATACCTATATTGAAATATTACCATTTTAATCATTACATTCAATATTTTCTAAAATTTTCCCTTACTTAACAGCTCAAATTTTCAAAAGCTTCAACTTGACTTTCTTTGAAAATTGATTTTTGCTGCAGCCCAAAACACAATCTCCTTCAGCACTTTATATACACTATTTCCTGCTGTAAAGAATAATTTTGGCTTGGGGTTTTAGTTCAGCAGTAGGGCACTTGCCTAGCAGGTGAGAGGCCTCTGGGTTGGTCGTCTGCTCCAGAAAAAAAAAGAATATTCTTAAATATTATAAATTTTATTAATTAGCTCAGCATTTCTTTAAAGACTTACAAATCATTCAGTAATTGAAATATAATTCACTTAGGATTACACAGAGAGGACTATTTTTAATTTGTACTCTTTTCTCTGTTCAAGTTTTGTAAGCCTAAAACTGCTTGGGAAGACCAGCAAAAGAACAAAACTGTGCCAGATAAATTACGCCAAGGCCTTAATAGAAACGTTCTAATAATAAAATGTCTCTTGTGAATGAATGCACTTATGGGGGTGGGGTACATGTGCCACAGTGCACCTGGAGAGGTCAGAGGCCAACTTCCAGAAGTTGATTCTCTTCTTCCCACCATGTGGCTCCCAAGGATTGAACTCAGATTCTCAGGCTTGGCAGCAAGTGCCTTTGCTGACTGAGCCATCTTGCCAGTCCCCAAAGAGATTGTTTTTAAAAATTACCTTGTGTGTGTGTAATTTTTTACTTTTTTTTTTTTGTTGTTTTTTTTCGAGACAGGGTTTCTCTGTGTAGTTTGGTGCCTGTCCTGGATCTAGCTCTGTAGATCAGGCTGGCCTCGAACTCACAAAGATCCACCTGGCTCTGCCTCCCAAGTTCTGGGATTAAAGGCGTGCGCCACCACCGCCTGGCATTTTTTTTACATTTTTTAATTGAGAATTTCATACATGTGTGTAATGTGTTTTGATCAAATCTACTCCTGTTCTCTCTCCTCTGGTTCCCCCCCCCACTACTTTTCGCTCCCAACTGCTTTTGTTAGTGGTTTAAGTCTATCAGCATTCGCTATTTTAGAAATCAAAACTGAGAAATTTAATTATATTTAAAACAGGAAGAAATCTCTTAGATATTATTGCAGGCGGACATGTGCAGGAGAAGTAGCCGAGAGCCCATCTTGCAGGGAACAGGAAGTCAGCTGAGACACTGGGAGTATCCTGAGCATCAAAGCCCACCCCCACAGTGACACACTTCCTCCAACAAGGCCACACCCACTCCAACAAAGCCACGCTTCCTAATAATGCCACTCCCCATGAGATTATAAGGGCCCATTACATTCAAACTACCGAAACTTGCCTCTGTGTTTTAGGATGCTGCGTGATAAAAGGAATTTACTGGCAGTTGTTGAAATCAATTTCTGATAAAAAGCTGAGCTTTTATATAGTGTTAAAAAAAATTAGGGGCTGGGGATTTAGCAAAGTGGTAGAACGCTTGCCTAGCAAGCGCCAGGCCCTGGGTTCGGTCCTCAGCTCCGGGGGGGGGGGGGGGGGGGGGGGATTATGACAAAGCAAACTGTAAAAATGCTGGTTGTTAGGGGAACAATTAGCTGCTAATTTTTATGACGGAACTAAAATATTGATCAGAAGCCAGGAAGAAATGAGGAGACAAGTTGACAGTGTGGACAGACTTCTTTTGATTGCAAAGAAATAGTTTCCAGGTGATCACATTGGTCAACAGTCCCTGGTACTGTCTGAACAGATTGGGAGCAAAACGGAACAAATGTGAAAAAGCAAAGTGACCCAGCGTAGACACGGGATAGCACTTGGCACAAGGCAGTGCAACCTCTAATTAGTTAACATAGACTGAAGTGGTTTGCCAAGTTGGTAGGACGATGGGATCTTTTAATGTTTCTGATCACCTGTTAGATTTATAAGAACACCAGCCAGGCGGTGGTGGTGCACGCCTTTAATCCCAGCTCTTTGGAGGCAGAGGCAGGTGGATCTCTGTGAGTTCAAGGCCAGCCTGGTCTACAGAGTGAGTTCCAGGACAGCCAGGGCTACACAGAGAAACCCTGTCTCAAAAAACAAACAAACCAAAACAAAAGAAGAAGAACACCCAAAAAAAAAAAAGAAATTTTGAGATGGTCATGTGATTCTAAGACTGTGCAAGCTAAGTGTGCCTCTATAGAGAGGCCCCTGTGGTATTAGCTCAGTTACCACATTAAGTGGGATATGCTGACTCTCCACACTTACTCTAGTGTTAGACTTGTGTCTAGTCAGGCTTCATATAGCTGGTAGTCACATTTGATCCAGGTGGTTCTTGAAGCCTTGCTCCATGTTCATTTTGTAAAACCCAAGCTTTACAATAACACATCCATTGCAATGATCCCCACTTTACACCACACCTACCAGGTAGCTGACCTACTAAGCGCCTCTGCCTAGTATCTGCTCCCCAGCGACCCTAACCCAGTTTCTCAATTCATCCCTAGCCTGCTCCCCACCCTATGACTGTCATCACTACGCAGAAGACAGGGTCACTTCCTACCTTCGATTTGAACTTCCACCCCCACCCCTTGGCCACCCTCAGTGTGTCTCCAGGTCTCTGGTCCCCTCCTCCAGCATTCAGAAACTCAGTTCTTACCCTGCACAAGGCCCAGTGAACAAGACTGTGACATTTATCGCTTTGCAGTCTCCGGAAAATGCCATCCATGTCACCTCCACAGCACAGCTTCCATTAAGTCAGTCACAATCTGCACTCTTTTTTAAAAAATGTTTTTTGATCTCATTACACCTCGAATGATCTCATTTTCTTCCCTGCTGGACTTCTCAGGCTGCCCCCAGATTGAGTCCCCTCCCTCTGCAGAGTGCAGAGTGTCTCCTTGGCTTCTGGAAAATCTTCCATCCAATGACTGCCTTGCCACTAATTTCACAGATATAAGTGAACAGTCTTTCTTGTTTCTAAATCTAATGGTTCTTCCGGTGACATATTTTCTTCCACGATTCTCTGTTGCAAAGGTCCCTCAAGAAACACTTCGTTCCATTGCAAATGGTTATGCCAACTTGTTTGTCCATACTGCATTTAGTTACTAAGTGCGCTTGATGTCGCTCATGTGACTTTTTTTGTTTT